CCCAGAAGTCTAGGTGCTCAAAGCCACAGCCTTGTTATCAACACAAAGAAAGAAAGGACTGAACTCATGACCTCCAAAGCATAGTCTACTACTGGCCAGTGCCAGCCTTTAAACTGTCAAGTACTAGCTTTCACAAAAAAGAAAAGCAGTACCACCACCCCCAAAGACATGTTCCAAGAGCCATTGGATGCCTAAAACCATAGTTAATATCAAACCCTATCTTTTCTATGTTTTCTCCTATATATACATGTATACATTTAATTCATAAATTAGGCATGGTAACAGTTGCAAATACGTGGACCAGGGAGAGAGCTCAGTTGGTGAAGTACTTGCTGTGCAAGCATGAGGACCTAAGTTGAATTCCCAGAACCAATATAAAAAAGCCAGGCATGGTGGCACAGGTCACATGAGGTGGTCACAAATCCCACACAGAAAATGGCTGACCCACAGAGACATAATTGATAGTTGTATTTATTGAGACTTTCACAGACTAAGGTAGTGGAAGAACTGAGGATTAGCCTAAGCCTACTGTTAACTACTTGTGAGCATTTGAAAACTCATTTATCTGTTCAGTACTTTGGTTTCTATTCTACCGAACTGGTCCTTGTGACAATGAAGCTTCCACGCTCTACAACTGGTTTTCTAGTATTCAACAACTGGAGGTATATCTTCCAAGCCATTCTCTGGGCAAACAAAATCCCCTGGCCTTTGACCAGGCTCTATATATTCTTATAGCAAACTAAATGATAAGCACGTGACAAAATAAGAAAAAAGAACACAAAGATTGACAACCCTTTGTAAACCACATTCTTATCCTCAGCGCTCAGCAACGAGATTCACAGAGCTAACCATCCTGATGCAATAATAACTCAATTCACCACACAAGGCCAAACCGTGGTTTCCAGGAAACAGAAACAAGAAGGAATGCCCAAAGATGTAGGAGCAACGTCAAAAGATGAAAAAAATCAAATGAGACACAATAGAGGCCTGAAAAGTGTGGTTGACACTTTTGAAATGATTGGGACCGTGAAGAGCTTCCCCCAATGCTAACAAACTGCTGTCCATTGTGTCATTAATGGGCTCAGTGAGGTAAAGGTGGACTGCTGATTCTTTTGAAAATTCGAAATCTAAAACTGAAAGCTGTGAAAGTTGGAATTACCACACTACTTCGTTAAGGGCATTTTTACCTCAGCCAAGAACTTGAAGATGTTCTTTTCTAAATAAAATAAAATAATCCTTAATATCAAAATGGAACACTCAGTACCTCAGAAAAATTAGATAAAACAAATTGTTGTTACTTCTTAAATTATCAAGAAGTCCATCATTACATCAATGGGTTAAAATATCTTTAAATGATACAATGAAATTATAGGATGCCCTAAATTATGACTCCTCTTCCTCTAGAAGAAAAGGGAAAATCAATGGGAAGCAGAAAATGTTCTAATAAAGGTAAGCTATTCCTATCCATATATTTCACACTGATGTGTATATATACATGTAACACACATTACACATAGCTGGCAAGATCTACCCTCAACTTTAATTTTTATGTTTTCCATAAAGCGCTGTATTGCTGAGGCCCATGTATTCATTATTTTAATTGTCCTGCCATAGTCTTAGCTGGGCTCATGGTGTGTAAATTACCTTAGCATTCATTAACTTGAGAGCACTTATGTTGTGTCCTATTCTATTTGGCTTGGTTTTCCTTGGATATTGTTACTTGGAAATATTTCTAAAAGTGAGATTATATGGGTAAAAATATGAATAATGTTATAGTCACGGTTGTATTTATTAGTCAATTGTTTTCTGAAGAGAAAGACAAAACAAATTAGAAAGCTACCAATATGTTCAAATATTACTGCTTCCCAACTTATATCATCCACACTCACACGCAATCACGTTACATCACTGATAGTCTCAACGGTCTACCAGGAGTAGACAGTGCCTAACAGATGCGCAAATGCAAATCCGAGTTACCAGTAAGACTAAATCTCATTTGTTGTAGTGACTCTGTCTCTAAGTGTTGAAAGATCACTGAGCAGGCAAGAGATAATAATAATAAATTCTCATATTCATAAACATTAATGCCTTTTACAAATACAACACCTGTATTTTTGAAGTTGGGAAGATATAGAAAAATGCAAAACATAATATAAAATTCATCTGTAGTCCCATTCTTCTTTCCCCTTTAGCATGTCATATAAAGTGTATTTCCTTTCTTCACCTGTCCAGCATCCCTATCCTCACTAAAAGCCATCACTGCAAGCATGTGGCACACATGGGTCCAGGATTTCCCCTTAACTTTACAAATGGAGTTACAACAATCACTGACTCATGCAATGATGTCTTCTTCCTTATGTATCTATACATCGTTTCAATTTGTAGAGATCCACCTCAAACATTTGGCAGCTGCATGGGATCTGCGCTGTTACACAGAGTAAGTTCTGAAACTGGAAAAAGGAGGGCAGTGGGATCCCGAGCTGGTACCTGGAGCACATGTTGCATCCATTTTTCCTCTGGCTATGAAGTCAGAGGTGCCCTTTGACCCTCCATTGCAATTATCCAAGCTCACCTCACCCTGTCACCTCACCCTGTTTCACCCACTGTCTTGATTTTTTGGAAGGCTGTCAGAGAGACCTCCGGTTGGAAATCCTTGCTGATGGGCTTCAGGTGGGTCACTGCTCACCAGCACACCCTCCTCATAGGCCCAATCCTGTCCTATCTCCTCCTCCTCGGCTAGTCTACACAGTAACCTTTCTCCGCATCTTCATTTCCAAGCCTGCTTTTCATTCCTTTCAGCCTGAGTCAGGAGAATGATATCACGGGTCCTCTGCATGGTTACCTGCCCCCCACCTCCAGCATCCATTTCACAGTCTGGACTGCATCCTCCTCAATCTAGAAACAAGCTCACACAAATGCTGTATTACTGAGTTGCACAGTCCTGTCCCCAGAGCAGAGCAACTGCCATGGTCCGAAGACTGACACATCTGCTCGAAAGAGATGACAGCTGAGCTTGCTGACTCAGCACTCCTTCAGAAGAGGAGGGGATGAAGCGGGTCCCTGGACCCTCACCTGAGTACCCACTTTCCCTGCCAGCTGTATGAGAATCTTGTCCGACCTTGGGGCCTGGGAAAGAGCTAAGGTATCTAGGCTGGGGAAGGCTGGGGAGGCCTGCATTCATGCAGCCACATGAAGCCTTCATTCACGGTGGTGCAGTCCTTCTAGCAGAGCTTTTCCAAGCTCACCCATACCCCAGCCCATAACCCTTCACTCATGATCTGTAAGCATGCTTAATAAACTCACTGGTCCCAGGGTAAACCCTGGTGGAGCCATCAGGACCTAAGGAACAAGGGGCAGACACTGTTCACATCTTCCCCTGGGGAAAATTCTCACAATATACTAACATCACAAAGTTGAGATTCAAGCCCAAGCAATCTGCCTCATAACCATGGTACCCACAACAGACACTTGCATTACCGTACTATAACTCTGATATGTTACAAAGCATGGGGCAGGAGGTTGGTTAGAAGACTGGGTGAGACAAGAACCCCCAAAACAATAGAAATCAACTTTCTGAGGGAGGAAAAAAACAAGAGTGAGTGTACCAGAGACTGTTTGTCATTTGTATGGCAAATAATGGAGAGACTGTTCCGGGGAGGTGTTCCATGTAGCTGCTTCATGGGCCCTAGGTAAATATTCGATTCCATATGAAGTGTGCAGAAGTCAGCTTCACTGTGCTGTCTTCTTCCCATAGGTCCTAACAGCTGTCTTCTCCACCGGCACCATCAGGACCGTGCACAGCCACCTGCAGAATGGCCGAGTCCCACTCTCTCAGTTAGCCTGGGCCAAGACAGATGTGCATCAGCAACTATTGGCAGCCACCCGGAGCACAGAATGAAGCAGCTTTTCCAGTCTTGGGAGCCGGGCGTCTCCAGGAGTAGCTATCAGACTCCCGTATTGTGTTTAGCTCTTTCTTTCCCATCCCTAAGACTGGCTGTGGGCTTGACCCTCAACTCACCAATTCTGTGGCCATATATTACACCTCTTTTTCCCAAACCAGTGATTTTTAAATTATTTTAATAATATGATGTGTGCTTGTACACGCACGTGTGTGTGAATGTGTTCCAGTGAGGGTGGGTGTCACAGCACAACGTGGAGGTCAGAAGAAAACTTTCAAGAGTTGGTTCTCTCCTTCCACTGTGACTTCCAGGATTCGAACTCAAGGCATGAGGCTTAAGCAGCAGTGATCTGGGAAGCATACTCCGTTACAGGGTCAAGATAAGAGAACAAAGCAGGATAAGCAGCTCCCAGGAGCCTCCTTCAGAGGCTGTCCCTCTGCTCTCTCCGCTTCCTGACTTCAGACACAATATGATCAGCTGCCTGGAGCTCCCGCTGCCCAGTTAGGGCCTAAAGCCACACTCACCACCACACCTTCCCTGCCATGGTGTACTGTGCCATCCAACTGTTAACCAGAAGAACCCTCCTGCCTTAAAAACAACCTCCAAGCCCAGCCTGGGCTGCAGAGTGAATCTGTTTAAAACATGTTTAAAAAATCTGTCATCAATAATAATATAGCTATAAATAAAAAGCAAGAAAAATGTGTAGTAGGCCTAAAATTATTTATACTGTATTAAAATAAAAATGTACTTATTGTAAACAAAAGGTAGGACTATTTAAACATTAAAGTTAATACATAAGAATGGGAGTTTGTTTTTAAACTGAGTATTTTCCACAATAAAGGAATATGTGTGCTCCTGTGAGGCACGGACCACTAAAGGCATCATGATTCTGAGTTCAGATAGTATTTTACAGATTATAGTATGTAAATTACATAAATTACTGTACCATACTATCATCTTAAATCCTATGAATCATATTTGTCTGCTTTTATTCAGACTGGCAAGTTCTCAGGCCCAACTCAACCCATAAAAGCAATCTAACTGAATGGTTTTTAGTACAATGAATGGCCACAACTAGACTTGAAGTGAGAAAGACCGCACCTGCTCATTGATCTCTCTCAGCTTCCCATCGATGGCTCTCAGCCGAGACTGCTGGTCCCTTTGCTCTTTGATGTCCCGGAGTATCTTTTCCCCTGGAGCTGGTTCCGTATCTATTTCTTCACTGGGGTCAGGTTCCTAATTTAAACGTAAAAGAATTCACTCACAGGCTGGTTAAGGCACAGCTTCAGACCCTCCAGTGTGACTGAGACTTGAGGGTCAACTGTGTTGCTCCGTGTCTCTTCCCTTCAACCCGTGTTCAGAATCCTTTTCAGTTTTCCTACTTGAGGAATTAAAACACATGGAAACAAATGGAGAGATAAACCCCGTCTGGCATCATCTGAAAAGCACAAAGGTACAGCTGGGTAGGAGCCTGAGTCCTGCTCACAGTTTCTCTGGGCTTCAAATGTGTCACATACATTTCCTTGCATTTCTTTCTTTAATCTCTTTGATTGTTTATAAATACATTTGTACAACTAAATATGATCATATCCATTTCCCATTCACCCCTCCAGCTTCCCCTGGGTCTCCCCCAACATGCCCATCTCCCAATTTCATGTCCTCTCCTCTTTTAGGAAAATAGCCCACTCCATCTGTTTAGTGCTGCCCATATGGGCATAGCTGTGGGGCCGTCCCCACTGAAGCATGGGGCCACACCTCCAAAGAAAAATGGTTCTACCTCCCCCAGTGACTATTGATTGTAAATAACTCCTCGATTAGGAGCTGGGCCTCATGAGTTCTTCCACCATCTGTACCAGAACAGTGGCTGCTTGAGACTGTGCAGGTGACCACTGCTGTGGTTGTAAGCCTGCCCATCCATGACATTAGAGGCAGGTGTATAGGAACATGGAGGAATTGGACTTGACATTAGAGGCAGGTGTATAGGAACAGGGAGGAATTGGACTTGACATTAGAGGCAGGTGTATAGGAACAGGGAGGAATTGAACTTGACATTAGAGGCAGGTGTATAGGAACAGGGAGGAATTGAACTTGGCAACATCAGAAGCTTTGAATCTCGGTTCCACCTGGCTCCTGACTAAGACAACATTACCAAAATGAATCAACTGCTCTGAGCTCCAGTCTAACCATCTGATGAGACCTGGCCAAAAGTCATCGCCGCACATAAAAGGCACGCAGCAAATCTGGGTACCCAACAAACTGGATGTGTCCTTTAAATACAGGAATCACTCACTATACAAAGGAAGTGACTGTTTTGTGCTTACCAATCACATCTGACAGAAGCATAGTTGCACAGCATTTCTGGGTGACTCAAAGTGGGCACTTTTTGATGGTATGTCGATTCTGTATCTAAACCTGAATGTCCTCTCTTCTCTCCCACAGATACCCTTCTCCAGGCTGCCACACAGGAAACTGGCATGAGAGACATCTCTGATCATTTTCAAGGGACTAGGATCCCACTGTTTTTATTCTCTACCCATAGCTGGTCACCAACAGTACTGAGCATTCTAGTTTACGGTGTCTCTCTGATCAGAGCACCTCATTCTTTTTGCTGCCTGAATTCAGACCATTGACCAGCAATTTTCAAACTCCAGCCTGATTCAGCATCATCTGTGTGACCTGTGAATAAGTGTGAAGACCAGCCGCCATCGGGGAGACTCTGGCTCAAAGGCAAGGGCTAGCAAACTGGACACTTGAAATACAACTGTCTGCAGATTTGAGAGTTACTTACTTAGTTGCTGTTTAAGTCTACTAAAGGGCCCCAATGCAGCCAGCCATCCCATGTACTTCCTCCTCTGCAGAAAAGCAATGCAGCAAGGTGTGTACGGCCTGGGCCGTCTCGCCGGCCATCATCAGGTCTTAAATTCAAGCTTCAGCCGTGCTCTTAGCTACTAATTCCCCACCACCCAGGCATCCACCCTCCAAATCCCTTCAGAGACTGACTCCTTTGAATCTAGCTTGAGCATTTATCCACCTTAAAGTTCTCCAGCGTACCTAGAAAGGAAAGCCTAATCACTATATCCACCTTAAAGTTCTCCAGCGTACCTAGAAAGGAAAGCCTAATCACTATATCCACCTTAAAGTTCTCCAGCATACCTAGAAAGGAAAGCCTAATCACTATATCCACCTTAAAGTTCTCCAGCATACCTAGAAAGGAAAGCCTAATCACTATATCCACCTTAAAGTTCTCCAGCGTACCTAGAAAGGAAAGCCTAATCACTATATCCACCTTAAAGTTCTCCAGCGTACCTAGAAAGGAAAGCCTAATCACTATATCCACCTTACTGTTCGTATGGTCACTTGTTCCCTCCTTGCACATACCACACATCACTGCCTAAACAGTGGCATGACTGATCTTGCTATGACCTCATACAACTCTACAGCTGCACAAGTATTGACCAATAACTCTAATTTCAGTTCTCAGAACTGTGATCACAATGTTTGAGCATGCACATAATGAACGTCAGCAAAATGCACCTTAGATAAGATTCTCCTGCGTGTGTGTGAAAATGCTTGCCACCCAAGCCTAAGGACCCGAGTTCGGATCCCCAGAACCTGTGGAAAAGCTGAACGCAGTGATATAAGCATCTGAAACCCAAGCTGGTTGTGCTTTCTGTTTCTTGTCCCAACTTGATATACTGCCTGGGAAGGGGGTCAGCAGCCATCTTTGCACAGGAATAAATTGGAAAAAAGTTTAACAGTAATTAACTTGATGATTTGAAAGACAAAAAAACCTGATTCAATATTGGAAGTATCGATCAATGATAGAACACTGGCATGCATGAAGCCCTACATTCAGTGCATGTGTTGTGTGTGTGTGTGTGTGTGTGTGTGTATGTGTGTGTGTATATGTATGTGTATGTGTTTGTGTATGTGTGCATTCCAATGCTCTTAGTTTTTGTGGTTCTTGAATCTTCTACAGTAAATATACTTACTAATTTCATAAGCAGGAAGGTCGAATTTTTTATTTTTAAGTAATCATGGCATTCTACCAACCCTATTTCTGTTCTGCTCTGACAGAAAGTGTACTTTCCACATCCAAAGAGTGCAGGCCTGGAGGCTAGGTCTCTGGTCCGGGTCTGCTAGAACAACAAGGTGTACAGCCAGGATGCCGCATCCTCTGCCCAGGTCCTAACTTCTACTGCCTCTCTGCAATTCTCTGCACTTGGACTTGGAGGGTATGTGAGACCTTTCCTCGGTCCCTTAGTCGCACTCCTGACGGGCAGCATAACCATCTAGTTCAAGCACCTGAAGAATACCATGTAAAGAAACACAGGCCTGGTGCTCCTGACGGGCAGCATAACCATCTAGTCCAAGCGCCTGAAGAATACCATGTAAAGAAACACAGGCCGAGAAGAAACGATGGAGAAAGAGCCACTGGTGCTGTCGAGTGAGCTGCTGCAGACAGAGCCAGCGCCTGGTGCCGGGAGCTCTTTTCGGATGGCAAACACCAGCCAGAACTGTCTCCACGGCTTTAGAATTAATTAGCAGATTCTCCACTCAGCGGACTGTGTCCGTGGGTCTGGGTCAGTCAGGAGGGGTTCTATGGAGAACTCTGCAAAGGCTCTCCGTGATGTATTCAGAGCGTCTAATGGCACCACAAGGAGAGGATTAACCCTGAGGTAAATTGGTATTTGATATTCTTACTAACCGATTGCCAAGAGATTCTGAGCTTACCCTTTAAAAAATATCTGTGATGTTGGCTGAGCCAACAGAGGCATTTGAACTAAATAAACTCGTTTTTCATAAGTCAAATACAAAGGAAATTACTCGGATATGCAAAGAAGCCATGCGTTAAGGACACAGACCCGCGTGGGGTAAAGCCAGGCTGCCCTGCATGTCCAGGCTCACTCTCTGCTTGTCTACAAGCCACTCCTATTTCTTGTCTCTCATAGGTCAGCTGCCCAAACATAGTGGGGGAATCTTTCAAACAGACTGTTTTTATCATCTTGGGATGTTGCCATTGAAATGAAAGAACCCTTGCCAGAATTGGAGGCGTCGTGAGAAAACAAAATACAAAATTTGAAACAATCTACAAAAATGGGGAGTAAAAACGATTTCCCAGTTCTAAATGAGAATTCTGACAGCCTGACTCTGGAGGCAAGGAACACTGAGTTAAGTTCTTGTTTATTCTTCTGTGCTAACATGGATGCTCTGAAGACATGCCATCATGGTTTCTGCAGGGAGGTAAAGGCATGCCTTGCAACTAGCATAGACTGAGTGGTAACTGAATTCCTGCTCTGAAACCACACTCTAAATCTGGGGGGAAATTAACTTGGCAATATATATTTTTTCAGGATTACATGTCAGTTGCTCCTAAGCTTTAGCTAGTGTTGAGAAAGAAATAAACAAACCAAACTCATTTTCTTACTGTCAGCAGTTATGTGATTTTTGGCAAGAAAAGAGATGAATATAAATACAATGTTCTTCCTTCAAATAGTTAAGGGTTTGGGGTTTGAGTTTGTTTATTTGCTTTTATATCACCAACCTGTGTGTGTGTGATGGAAGTAATATTCTAAACACAGGACAATAAATCAAGTTAAGAAGAGCCATGCCGGGCAGCGGTGGCGCACACCTTTAATCCCAGCACTCGGGAGGCAGAGGCAGGCGGATCTCTGAGTCCGAGACCAGCCTGGCCTACAAGAGCTAGTTCCAGGACAGCCTCCAAAGTCACAGAGAAACCCTGTCTCGAAAAACAAAAAAACAAACAAACAAAAAAAAAAAGAAGAGCCATTAGATTCGATTAAGGTAGTTGGTTTGAAAACAAAGAAATACCTCTTGTCAGTAAGAGACATTTCTGAAGACTCGCCTTTGACCATAAAAAAAAAAAAGAAAACAAAAAACCTCTAACCATGAAGTGGAACTCTAGATTTAGTAAGACCGATTGCATGAGAGATGAATAAACTCTATGTCTTTACAGGAGCCAAGAAGAATAGCATTTATTATTGAATCCAGTTGCTGAGGATTTAAGAAACTGAATGTCACACAACTCCCATATCATAGATATTTCTGGAGAAAGCTGGAATCTAGTCTATGTACAAAGGAGAAAAACAAAATTATTTTTATGTCATCACTCAACTAGTTTTACAGGGCAATTTCCAATATGGAGAAAGAAATGCCTGGCTTGTTGGCAAGTCAAGAGATTGGTCAGCACAGGTATGCACGGTTAATGCACAAATCTCATGAATAAAAACTGCTTCCATTGGTTCTCTCTGACTCCCATAAGATGAGAATTAAAAGCACATGAGAAAACCACAACCACAAAATTGTGGTGCAGCCATGATAGAACATGCTTTGTTTTAAATGTGGCCACACACTTTGTTTTAACAGAGGAAAAAACAAATGCTACTTAATTTTTTTTTCCATATTTAGGACTGGAGAGATGGCTCAGTGGTTAACAGCACTAGCTGGTCTTCCAGAGGTCCTGAGTTCAATTCCCAGAAACCACATGGTGACTCACAACCATCTGTAGTGGGATCTGATGCCCTCTTCTGTTATAAAGGCATACATGCAGATAGAGCATCCATACATAAAATAAATAAATAAATCTTTTGAAACATTTTTCCATAGTTAAGAGCACCAGGCATGTGATATAAGGAGAGTCACAGCCAGCAAACTTCCAAGGGCAAAAGCCTTTCCCTTTTACACTGACCAGAGGCTTGGTAATCTCTGCAATCATTTCTAGAGCCCCTCCCATGTGTGCATGATACGTTTCCATGACTACTAACTTAACATCACAAAGTAGCTACAGGCAGCTATGTCAGGGAGCCTGTGCGTTTCAGCTTGTCCAGAAAAACATTTTCTTGACAGCATGATACAGGACGGTGAGCGGACAGCCAAGTGGAGAGCCAAAGAAAACAGCAGCTGCTACCCAGCTCAGTCCAGTCCACTAGCCCGACACCAAAGAGTCAGGCAAAGCGCTGCCATATTTTCTGATCTTTCAAAGAAACACTAGAAATTATCATTTTCATTTGAATTCACCTAAAAATGCTGACTACAAACATTTGCAAATACTTTGTGGGCCAAAGGAAACCCACAGCTACCAGCTGCAACCTTGCGCTATGAGGTGGCAGTCTTCTGTGGGTTTTTTGAGGTGGGTTTTGGGAGTCAAACTTGGGTCTTCATGCTTTTGAGGCAGACACTTGAATGATCTCTTATTTGTTATTTTTGTTACATGTGTATATGTACAGACATATATATTCCTAAATACAATCCGCTCAGTTTGAATAATGTTACTTAAGGCAAGGTTTTTTATACTCCAAGGCATGTGCCTGACTTATCATTAAGCCCCTATAGTTCCTAATATACAGTAATCCCTAGGTTAATGTTTGTTGCAATATTTTGAAAGTAGAAATTTAGAGACAGGAGAGATGGTTCCACAGTTAAAAGTGTTTGCTGCTCTTGCAAAGCACTCAGAGTGGCTCACAACTACCTGCAACTCCAGCTTCAAGGCTCTGGCAGCCTCTACTGGTCTCTCTGCTAGCACCTGCGTGAATACACACACACACACACACACACACACACACACACACACACACACCACACCACACACAGGACACAGGTACGCATGTACACACACACACACACACCATTCACAGAGGCACACATGTCCACACACACACAGGCACACATGTGCATGCTCACACACATATCCAAACAAGCCTTTAAGTAGGAATTTATATTCCACTTAAAAGACATTCTTCTAAAGGCTCATGAAGAAAAACTACTGATGAGCCTAACTGTCTGCATAAGAATGAAAATAAGATGAATTCAAATGCTAAGTGCTTGTGTTCAACAACAGATTGGAGCCCATTCACCAGCTACATAGATAAAATGCTTGCTCATTCTTTTCAGTGAACTTATTCACAAGACCTCACAATCCACAGATAATTACCATGAAATAATTTGCCAGGTTTGCATTTCTTTTTGAAGGTTCCATGTGCAGTGCTGGCTTTGGCTAGAAGTTCAAGAGCAAACTGAATACACGTCCAAATGACAGGCTGTTTTGCATGGAAGAAGCATCTCGGCAACTATCACGTCCCAGTCTGCTCCTGCATTTGATGGAAACCCCAGGAGCAGTTTTCCCTTTTCTTTATAAAAAGGTGGTGTTTCGCATAAAATTACATGATCTCAGCCCACACCAGTGCAATTGTATATTGGTTTCTCCTTTTCATTATGTTTCAAATAATTTATCTGAACCATAATGTGGGCTCTGGAAAAAAATGTGATTTAGGTGATGATAACAAAATCTAAGAATTCACAATATAGCTGACAGCTATGACAAGGACAGCTTCTGTCTCTAAGGACACTATTGAGGCTTTAGATCATAGCTATCCTAGAAACATATCAACAACAAAAAGTCAGATGAAGCATGAAAAGAATGGAGGGGACCTCCAGGCAATTTCATCACTCATCTTAACTAACTCTTACTGAGAAGCAGTACTGAGCAGTACAAACAAAACACACTCTGGTAACTTGTGTCCCAGAGTACATTCAATTACAATGAGTACTCCAGTTCTCTGTGAACTCTAGCACAATCCAGAAATTAGTGCTGGGAACAGTACCACCACTCTTCTGCCTCAAGGGGTCAGGAGTGACTCCCTCCTGGCCCTTTGAAACCTAGCCTAGGAAAGCTGAGACAGCTTCCAAGGTGTCACCAGTTATTAAACTGTTTCTTCAGGACATCTTTATATAGTTTCTTTAGCTAAGGTAACTGTGGTGATATATATTATTTCTGAATCCTTGCCTGGGGATTCAGAAAAGCAAAGTCATCCTCAAGCTAAAGAGATCTGGCAGTGGTGATACACACCTTTAATCCCAGCAGCCAGAAGCTAGGAGGTGGTGGTACACACCTGTAATCCTAAGACTCAGGATTAAGAGTGTAGATGGATCTCTGTGAGCCCAAGGTTGCCCAGATCTACACATGCTTGAATCAGTCTAAAAGAGAATTATAACTCACACCTTTAATCCCAGCACTAGAGGGGTAGAAAAGACAGGGACAAGCATCCAGGAGGAGGCATTTGTTCTCCAGCCACACTGAGGAGAGGCAGCAGTTTGAGACTCAGTGAAGAGCTCGTTCATGGATCAACCCTTTCAGCCCAAGCCAGATGTGAGAGCTAGTGGCCAGCTACTTTGCTTCCCTGATCTTCAGCTTGAACCCCAGTATCTGTCTCTGGGTCATTTATTTATTTGTGTTACAAGTAACCTTCAATAAGCAATTAGTATTTTCTAGAATGGACTTACTATAAGTTACTGATACTTAAAATTTTTGAGAGCAACCACACACACACACACACACACACACACACACACACACACACACACACAAAACCAGCCATAGAAAACTGTGTGAAAAATAATTTGGTAAGGCTTTTACAAAGTTGGAAGAGAAATAGCAAAATCTCTCTCTCTCTCTCTCTCTTCTCTCTCTCTCTCTCTCTCTCTCTCTCTCTCTCTCACACACACACACACACACACACACACACACACACACACACACACACACACACACACTTTCTCTTCATACCACCATCCGAGCCCAAACTAGACCATGGGAACTGGAATGTGGAGGAACAGGGAGGAAGCTCACTGTGTCAACACTGCTCTTCTCTGTCCTCTACACTTTGTAGAAGAATTTTGGAGGGAGCCATCCACACCTATTTCAAAGCGGGGAGACATCATCACAGTAGAGCTTGGGTTTTGCTATTAATGGAGTTGGAAGAGCATGACAAAGAAAGGGCCCCTGACTGGCTCTGCTAACATCCAGTACCGAAAGAACAGAGGAAAGACAGGCAGTAAGGGACTAATGGGTACTGTTAACCTCTCTTCCTTCTTTTTAACCATAACCAAGAACTATCTTCACTCATAAAGACATGATAATATTAAAATAAGTAACTTCTCAATTGCCCCTTCCCACAATATTCCCAACTGAAGAAAAACTGGTAGAAAGTAGAAATAGCCAAAAGAAAACACACATTGCTGGGGAAACTGAAATTTTTGCAGTTGAACTCATAGAAGAGCAATTGGGACGAAACCTCTTTAGTTGAGATTAAGAGTATGTGCAGTAGCTATGCATGCATTAACTTCAACAATCTGCATGCTCCTGAGTTAAACATATCTTATCATTCGGCCAGGCGTGGTGGTGCATGCCTTCAGATCCAGCACTTGGGAGGTAGAAACAGGAAGGTCTCTGTGAGTTCGAGGCCAGCCTGGTCTACAGAGCCAGATCCAGGACAGCCAGGACTATAGAGAGAGACCCTGTCTCAAGTCCCTCTCCCCCCTCCAATAACAACAACAACAGCAAAACCCCATACCTTATTGCTCTGACTCTCACGTCTTGGAGAGAGGCTGAAGACGGCTGGCGACACCACAGAGAGTTCCTGAAGTTTTGTGTCAATCTGAGCCAGCTGCTGAGACTCCATAGCTGCAAGGGTATAGCCTTCTCCTTCTCCGGGGACCAGCCAACCACACGGATCACCCTAAAAGGAACCAAGGTGACCAGGTCATTACCAACTACTTTGTTTCAAAACATACTTTTTAGACCTATAGCTCCACCTCCAGATCTGATGCCCTCTGCTGGCCTCTGTGGGCACACACACTTGACAACATACATGTATACACATAAATAAAGAAAAAACTTTAATAAATAAGATCCATTTACAGCATCTGTTCAAAAATGCCACACCAAATGTTCATGGCACATGACTATTTATCAGGCACAGGCAAGTCGATCTGAACGGCGACAAAGAGCTGCATCCAGGACTTGTTAGACTCGTGTCTGCAAAGGTGGAACAAGGTGTGAGGAAGGGTGGTGTTCAACTGTGGTTTCTGCACCCCAGAAAACTGACCTCAGGCTTATTACTGTCATGTTATTTACAGTAAAAAAAAATAGCTGTAAAAAGCCTAAACATCTAAAAACACAAGGAAAGTAGTATTACCCAATTAGTTACAAACAAGAAACTGGTTGATTAATTTCCCAAATAAAATTGATATAAATACTGAATGATCTAAGTGATATTTACCAAAACTAAAATTATAGGATTAATGGCTAAATAAAAATTAATTTAAAACTCTTCCCTGAGTGAAATTATTTTTAATGTAACTAGAGTTAAAGGAACCTATACAGAAACATTAATGTCCAGGCACCATACAATTGCAGCAAAAAAATTCATATATTAAATGGAAGGTTGTAAAAGACCCAGAGACTGATACTGGATTCGAGCTTCAAGCTGAAGATCAGAAAATCAAAGTAGCCAAGCCAGTAGGTCTTACCTCCACCAAGATGAAATGGTAATCCTGTCCCCAGGAATCCTCAGAGGCAAAAGCTCTCAGATCCTGTCTCCTCCTCTTTACATTCCTTTCTCTGCCCAGCCATATCACACCTGTCTCCACCTCCCTAGTGCTGGGATTAAAGGCTTTGTGATCCCAGGTGCTGAGATCAACTTTGTGTGAGCTGTTTATTTTAAGACTGGTTCAATTTAGTGTAGTCAGTGTGGCCTTGAATTAACAGAGATCTGTCTACCTCTTAATCCTGAGTCCTGGGATTAAAGGTATGTACCACCACTGCCTAGCTTCTATAGCTAACTAGTATGACTGCTTTGCTATTTTGATCTCCAGTGGCTTTAACAAATCATAAGCAACATATCATCACAGAAGGCAACACTGTCTGGTTCTGCCTGTCCATCACCACCTAGTCACTGTCAGTCTGTGTGGGAAGCTTAAACTTTCTGGCTTGCAGGTGCCTCACCTCCCTGAGATAGAAACCAGAGGTGATCTTCCTAGCCTCCTTCCCAGTCAGGGATCAAGCAGGTAACTTAGTAACCACCAGCCAGGTTAATCCTCTCACTAGTATTAGACATAAATAAACTGGGTCCCACTACAAAACCTGCTTTGCTACGAGGGCATCAGTCGACAGTAGAGGCATTAGTCTGCAGGCTCCATACTCATGTACAGGGACGTGTACACACAGCACTTGTACGCCCATATTTACTGCATACACACATATACATGACGGGGGATATCCTTCTGTACATATGTTTCTCTTATTGATTGATGAATAAAACACTGTTTGACCAATAGAGGTAGGAAGATAGGTGGGACTAGGAGACAGGGAGATTTCTGGGAAAGGTAGACAGAGAAAGACCTCCAGGAGATGCATGTAGAAACCAGGAAGATAGGACATGTCAGGCATTCTCTGGTAAGAGAAGGCCATGTAGAAATACATAGATTAGTAGTTATGGGTTAATAATTAATCCAAATAAGAAGCCCTAGAAATTGGCCAACAGTTTAATATTAATATATGTCTTTGTGTGCTTATTTGGGGCTGAAAGGGTGGCGGGACCTGGTAGGACAAGAAGCTCCAACTACATATACACACAACTAAAAACGAGATTTCCTAAAATCCAAGAAATATACTCTTTCAAGGGTTAAAAACTTTAACATTCTAAACCTAAACTTCAGATGATTTCAACATATCCAAGAGGAAAGTAAAGGGGGGAAAAGGTTAGCCTGGTCAAGATCTGAGGTTTAGGATTGTCTTAGTTGGGGTTTCTATTGCTGTGACAAAACACCATAACCAAAGATCAGGTTGGGGAGGAAAGGGTTTATTCATCTTACATTCCCACATCACTGTTCATCACTGAAGGAAGTCAGGACAGGAACTCAATCAGGGCAGGATCCTGGAGGCAGGAACTGATGCAGAGGCATGGAAGGGGGCTTCTTACTGGCTTGCTTCCCCTGGCTTGCTCAGCCTTCTTATACCACCTAGGACCATCAGCCCAGAGATGGCACCACCCACAATGGGCTGGGTCCTCCCACACTGATCACTAATTGAGAAAATACCTTACAGCTGGTCTCATGGAGACATCTCTTCAGCTGAGGCTCCTGCTGCTTTAATGACTCTAGCTTGTGTCAAGTTGACACACAAAACCAGCCAGTACAAGGAACTACTTCTGAAGTTGGGGGATAATAACAATGCCAGGTCAGAAATAGGACTGGATTCCCAAATAATGTGAGGGGGGAAAGGTAGCAAATAAAACATCAAATACATAATTTGAAGTCAGGAAACCTAAATATTATCAGTGGTCATTCCAAATAACAAAAAAATTGTTAAAAATAATAAAAATAGTATGTAAAACATGTGAGGGATAAAACATAAATACTAACTAAGCCAATAAGCCAAAGTAACATTAATCCCAAAGCTTCACTGTGAAAGCATTACAGGAATAGTTGAGAGAGGTACCATATACTCACTGACACAACAGGAAGTGCCTTGCCCAGCTTCACGGTTAATCCAATAACTAAAAATAAAGCCTAGGAGTCTAATTCTGCTACCTAAATTTCGCTAATAAACTAAGACAATTACCATGATTAGCAAAACTGAAGTAACCTCGCCTCCATTCCTGCTCCCAGCACCCACAGGGCCCTCAGAGGTTGTAATCTGTGAGGCTCCAAGGTTTGCTTTGGATTCTGAGTTGAAGAAGGGCTATTATGTTTGTCCACCCACAATTTTTTCCAAGGAATTGACTGTTGACATTTGAAACACGTTCCCCATTTAAAAATCTGATTTTCTAGCTTATCTCGAAAATTTGTTGGATCCTGGCAGCCAGGAAAGCATGTTTCTCTAAGGAAATAACTTTGAACATTAGGATATTAAATGCAGAGAATGTCTTCCAACTGGAAAATTGCGAATTTGTACTAAGAGACCAACGGCATACTAAAGATTAAGGAAGGTGAAGTCATTTACAAGTTAGCATACCTCAGAGCTGGACAGTCCTGCATCTGTATCATCCAGACCTTTCAGGAGTTCATCCAGCCTTTTCTTCTCTCTGTCAATCATAACCACCGGGCTTCTGGAACTCTTGGCCAACTAGAGGGTGTATTAGTAAGAAATGTAAACATGCAGTGCAAAGTGTAATCCAGTAAAAAAGAGAGAGAGAGAGAGAAGTCCACAAAATAGATATACTAAGTTTTAAAATTTGAAAGGTTAGGCATTTTGATTTGCTAGGTAATCTTATTTTATGTTATAAATGGCATTCTCCAAGCAAATATTTCCAGTATATGCAAGTCCTCTTTTCTCTCTGTCTTTGTCTCTGTCTCTGTCTCTCTGTTTCTGTCTCTCTCTCTCTCCCTCTCCCTCCCTCCCTCCCTCCCTCCCTCCCTCCCTCCCTCTCTCTCTCTCTCTCTCTCTCTCTCTCTCTCTCTCTCTCTCTCTCTCTGTGTGTTCATCGTGCATTCATTTGTTGGCTACAGCACCTATGCAGAGGTCAGAAGACAACTTGAAGGGACCATTCTCTCCTTTCACTGTATGGGTCCAGGAATAAAACTCAGGCTTGGGGCACGTACCCCTTACCCACTCACCGGCTCCAGGCAAGCCTTCTTATTAATGACTTCAAAAGTCATCTTCATATAAAAACAAATGTTTAAGCTGCTTTCAAGCTTCTTTCTCCAGATATGTAGCTACGGATGATAGGCATATAGGTGTATTGATGTAGAGGACATGGATTCGCAGATGCAGAAGCAGAAAAACATTTGCCGAGACACCAAGAAGGACAACTGGATACTTTCTGGTACCACACAGCCACTTAGTGAAACTGCTTTTAAATTTCTAGAATGTTGGGGCTAGGCATACAAATCAGTTGGTTGGACTGCCTCATGTGCATGAAGCCTTGGTTCAATCTCTGGCACCTCATAAATCTGGGCACCATGGCACACATTTGTAATCCCAGCACTTGGGATGCTGAAGCAGAGGGGTCAGAAGTTCAAGGCCATCCTCACCTACCCATCAAGTGTGAGGCCAGCACCTACATGAGACCTTATCTCAAAAGTTAATTGATTTCTAGAATATCGTATATGGCATTTAAATAAAGACTCCATTGCCAATGTTAAAAGGAGAGAAGGAGAGTCTAAGCTGGAGTTATTGTGTGTCAGCAAGAACTCAGAAACAGAGGACTCCACTATTCCTGGAAAACGAAACAGTGCATCAAGACAGAGACAAGAGCAGATGAAATTGGAGACAGTTGCCCGAAGTCACACAAACATGGGGCACAGAAGACAGAGTGGCAGAGGCTGGCCTCCCAGTGGCAGACTGACTCAGGGACCAAGCTGTCTGGAATGGCATGCCAGTTGTGAGAAAAGCTTCAGGCCTGAGCTGAGGAAACACAGCTCTCCCATCTTGCTGATGCTCTACCGTCACCAGTGTGGCCGTCCAGTGACTAGCTAAGATGTTACTGTGAGCCTCTGTCCACCCCAGACATTTCTTTAGATTAATTAAATAAAGGAGTCCCTGTGCCCTTAACTAATCTGCGTCTACCTTAAAGACAAACTAAATCAGGTTGCCTGGACTGTGGTGCACCAAGGATGAACCCCTGAATCGAGGATGGTGTCCAAGTGCTGGGGAATCAGAGGGGGCCAAGAGTGGGGATCAGAGGGGGCCAAGAGGGAGGATCAGAGGGGGCAGGAGGGAGGATCAGAGGGGACAAGAGGGAGGATCAGAGGGGACAAGAGGGAGGATCAGAGGGGACAAGAGGGAGGTTAGGGAGTGTAGACTACTAGTTGATCTCTCTGAGCCGGCCTTTGCTGCTCTGCCAGGAATGTTTGAAGGCTCCCGGTTCTAAATGCTGTAGCTACATTATCAAGCCTTGTAACAAAATGAGTCAATAAATAAACACTCGCCTGCACACTTTATTGACCTTCAGTTAAAATCTGGAGGGAAGCACTGCTCAAAGCTCTTTTCCATTTCAGGAACTAGACTATTTCTGAGTGATAATAAAGTCTAGTTGCAGTAGCAGTTTTGAGAGATACGGAATAGATAGGCAGGGCAAGATGGGGGACGTGATGTAATAAGACTGCAAAGCCTGCATAGGCATGTGCGCCCATGTATGCACACATGCACACACGCCACCCTCACACACACACAGACGAGCAAAGTGAACACTGTGACCCTCTCCGCCACTGGCTTACTCCCACGTCATCTCTTGAATCGTGAGATACCCACCTCAATGTTTCGCTTAATAAAATCCTGGCTGGGTTTACTCCTAAGCTCGATCCTTTCTGTGTTTGAAAAAGGTTTCTCTTCTGTTTTGATCAACAGTTCATTTTTTTCAACGTCACATGTAAAATCTAGTTCTGAAAAAGTTCAAAATGATCTCATAATTACAATAAAATTTAAAGACACACATAGAAGAAATAATTTTTGAATTCATAACCCAGAAACTTAATATGGACTTTTTCTTTGTCTTAAATTTATTTTCTCCCTGTCCTCCTTAGCCAGATTTCTATCAGTGGTAGCCTACTTTTTAAGATATTTTTAATTAAAATACAATTATATAATTTCCCTCTCTCTCTTTTCTACCTCCAACCCATACCATCACCACCACCAGGTACCTGCCTTGCTCACTGTCTCAAATCACGGCCTCTTTTCCTTTCATTGATGAGACATATATATAATAAACATATATAAACAAACACTTAAATGCAACCTGAATAAAGCTACTTGTATGATATGATTTCAGGGTTGACCACTTGGAATTGGATAACCAATTGGGAGGCTCTTTCCTAAAGAAAACTATTTCTCCCTCTCTCACAAACAATCAAAATGCAGAGAACAAATGGCAGAGTGTCCAGCCCCAAATGATACATCTACAAGACAATTCCTGCACCTAAGGCTCAGAAAATGCCATGGAAGGGAAATCCCTTTTGTATTTGAAAAAGGTTTCTTTTCTTTTTTGGTCAATGGCCCATCTTTTCCACACCACAGGTAAAATCCAATACTGAAAAATTCAAAATGACCACATAATTACAACTGTGAAAAAAGACTAGGAGCCAGAGGAGCCGGAAGTCTGCAACCTACTTTTTAAAAACTATCCTAAAAATTTTCAAACAGCCAGTAATAGAAGGAATAATGGTGTTTCAATGAGTAACTTTACCGTGGGTCAACTCTCGAAAGGTTGTAATCCACACATGTTCACAGTGCTCTGACTGAATCTAGTACCCTCATGTCTTAGTTGGGTTCTCTGCCACTGGGCTACAACCCCCGCCCTTATGCTGCACCAAACTCTGGCTACTTCTTATCTGTCCATTATTCTAAATGATACCAGGTCCCCTTCATCCATGGGTATTTCCATATACAGCCAGCATCCTCTTGTGGCAATCTATATAATCACACAAATTAAACATACCCTTCTTGATATTCTGCATGCAATTCTCATAGTTTTCTGGAGGAATCTGAGTATGAAACACTGAGAAAAACACGTCTTCAAACTCACAGCATAAAGGCTCTACTGATACAAAAAGAGAAAAAAAGTGCTGTTCAATCTTCACAAAATGAAATACTGTAGGGAGGAGGGGTGGGAGAGGGAACCAGGATTGACATGTGAAGCATTCATGTTTCTAATTTAAATAAAAACATATATTGAGGAAAATACAAAAAAAAAATGAAATAATGTCCACAGTTGCATACAGAGGATTGAATAGTCCCTACTACTCCTCAGTCCTCTCCACACAAGTGAACTGGTTTTCAAGTCAGCGTCACTGTTGAAATGGCAGTCATTATCACATGGCCATGGAGCCTAACCGCAGAACCCGACAGCCAGAAAGCACTTCCCAACACAAGACAGCCAGACAGTGCTTCTTAGATACACAGAGCCCACTAGAGCACCACCATGCTCTACCGATGACCTAGGGAGATCCCAGCACTTGTGATACAGACAATATGCACACTCAGTAACAGAATTACATTTTTCCTCTTTCTTTTAGGCCTCCAAGTTGAAGATTTTAAAAGTATAGCCAGTCATTATCAGAATGCCTTTGAGCTAAGCATGGTGGCAAATACTTGCAATTCCAGCAATAAGGAGAGGATGCAGGAAGCCCAGGAGTACAGGGTCATCATGTGAGATACAGCAAGTTCAAAGCCAGTCTGGGTTACATAAGACTCTGCCTCAAAAAAAAAAAAAAAAAAAAAAAAAACTAGACAAGGCCTGCAAGATGGTGCCATGGCCAAGGCACTTGTGCAAGCTTTATGACCTGAGTTCCATCCCAAGTAATGGCAGAGGGACAGAATCAACTCCACAAAGTCCTCTGTCCTCCACACATGCACTTCCACCTACACCTACACACGCGCGCGCGCGCGCGCACACACACACACACACACACACACACACACTTTTAATTTAAAAGAGAGAGAGAGAATACATTTGGGAGACCAGTGGAAGTCAGTGTTCTTCTCTTGGGCTAAGCACCATGAAGAAAATAGGACATTGCAATGTTCAAAATTTTTTATGTTTCTCGTATTAGCTAATTTAGTTATTATGTATCTTTGTCCTGGCTCTAGTTTTATATTAACTTGACACGAGATAGAGCCATTTGAGAAGAGGGACTCTCCGTTGAGAAGATGCTGCCCTAAGGCTTGCTTATGGACAAGTATGTGGGAAGAGCCAGTCCTTTGTGAGTGGTACCATCCCTATGCATGTGGTCCTCGTCTCCATAAGAAAGCAGCCTGAGAAAGTCACAAGGAGCAAATCAGTAGCAGCATCCTCCATGGCCTCTGCATCAGTTCCTGCCTCCAGGTTCCACTCCTGCTCGAGGTCCTGCCCTGACTTCCCTTGGTGATGGACTGTATCTAGAAGAGTAATTGAAATAAATCCTTTCCTCCCCAAGTTGCTTTTGGTCATGGTGTTCTCCTACAGAAATCTTTTTTTTTTGTTTTTTTTTGTTTGTTTGTTTGTTTGTTTCTATTCAAGATGGGGTTTCTCTGTGTAACAGCTCTGGCTGTTCTGGAACTTGCTTTGTAGGCCAGGCTGGCCTCAAACTCATAGAAATATGCCTGCCTGCCTCTGCCACACCCCTCCACATCCAAGTCCTGGATTAAAGGAATAAACCACCACTGCCCAGCCCTAAGACAATCTTGTTTGTTTGTTTGTTTGGGGTTTTTTGAGACAGGGTTTCTCTGTGTAGCTTTGGAGCCTGTCCTGGAAGTAGCTCTTGTAGGCCAGGTTGGTCTCGAACTCACAGAGATCTGCCTACCTCTGCCTTCCAAGGACTGGGATCAAAGGTGTGTGCTACCAGCACCTGGCAACCCTAAGACAATCTTAAAAATCAATTTTCTCTTTGATTTAACTTGATATATTGAATCTGCCAGTTTGTGTCACAGAAATCTTTTGTTTTGAAAAGCATGCTAAGGCAGGTATGGTGGTGCATATATATCTTAAATCCCACCACTTAGGGGGCAGAGGCAGATGAATCTCTGTGAGTTAGAGGACAGCCTACACAGTGAGCTCCAGGCTAACGAGGGCTACATGGTGATATTCAAAATAAAACAAAACAAGGCTCATGCACCATTCACAAAGCTAAAATTGATAAATTGTCCTTCATTAAAATTAAACATTTGGGGATTGGAAAGACAGCTCAGGTAGTAGAGTGCCCACTGCACAAACATAGCACCTCAGTGCAATCTCTGGAACCCATGCAAATAAAGTCAGGTGTGGTGTACATATTTGTAATCCCAGCATTGGGGAGACAGAGACAGATACAGGAGACTCATCAACCAGTGATGATGATGATGATGATGATGATGATGATGATGATGTTGACAGCTCCTTGGGAACAAATGATGGTTAGCTTTAACTGTCAACCTAAAAAAACATAGAATCCTGGGAAGAGAGTCTCAGTAGGGATTGTCTACATGGGATTGGCCTGTAAGCATGTCTGGGCGAGGCTGCCTTAAGTTAACTGATGTAAGAAGATTCAGCCCACTGTGGGCAGCACTATTCCCTAGGCGGGGGGGGTCCCGGAATGTATAGGAGTGAATACATCGAGCTGAGCACAAGTAAGCAAGAGGGTTCATGCATACATTTCTCCCTTTACTGTGGACATGATGTGACCAGCTGTCTCAAGCTTCTGGCACTGTAACTTCTCACAGTGATGAACTGTAACAGGGAGTTGTGTGAACTACAGGGGTTCTTTCTCCCTCGATTGCTTTTTGTCAGGGTATTTTATCATAGCTACAAAAATGCAACTAGAACAGACAGTAATCAATAGAATGAAATAGTATTCATAATGATCCAAAAGAAGGCTAGCTCCCATGTTAGCAAAAGTCGGAAATGCATACTTCTAAGTGAAAGAGTACAATCTGGAAAGGTTTACTCTGAAAATTCCAATTACACAACCTTATTAAAAGGCAAAACTATACATAAAGTAAAACAGTGGCAGTTAGAAGATTGGGGAAGGAAGGAGAGTTGAATGAAGACTCACACAATGGGCTCTTTTAAGGCAGTAAGACTAGTCTATATAATACCATAATTGTGAATGTGTGGCACTATACCTTTAAAAAAAGCATTTACCACCAGAACATAAAGGGCAAAAAATTCGATGTTTGTAGATCTTCTGAAAAAAAAATCACTTAAGAGATTGAGGAATCCCAAATACGGACTGCAGAAATGTGGCAAGACAATCCAAACCTATGACAAATATACACAATCTCCTTAAGTAGAAACAAACATATGAAAAGGTGCCTGCTTAGCTCCAAACCTCTAACTCTGAAGAATGGAACCTAAAAGACTAAAAGTAACAGAAACTAAATGTGAGAAGTATATTCCAGGTGATCGAAGTGTTTTCTATGGGTTATCGATCCTGTTTGTGTACCATGCCGCTGAGCAATGAAGTAAGGAGATGGCCCAGGGTGGGAAGGGGGTTCTCACTGTCAGACTAGAAGATAAGCCACAGGGTTGAGTGCAATGGTCCACGTGGGATGATGGAGTGCAAGAAGACACACGAGTGTGTGTGAACCTAGTAGTAACTCCTACAGAGATGGCCACATACAGGTATACTTGGAGACACGTGCACCACAGTTAGTATACTCACACACATTTCTTCTCCTAGTGGAAATTGCACCTGGCAATTTCCTGTCTAACACCACTCTTCAGTGATAGGAATCTCCTGGGGGACATGGCTGAGTCCAAGACTCGAGTGGGAAATATAGAAGGGTCAGAAGTAAAAAAGAGAAGATAATGCCTGGCAAGAGAAATAAAACAAATCCCACAGTGACAGAAATGGTGCAAAGGGATGCTGGTACCAACTAAGAGACCATCTAATGGCCAAAATGGGAAAGTAGAATCAATCCACTTAAGTGGTGCTGAAATCCAACTCAAATCCACTAACATCAGTCCAATACTGACACAAATGAGTGAGTAAAGAGAAAACAGACCAATTTCCCCCAAAGAATAACTCGGAATAATGTAGGCTCATATTCTGCTCTCACTGAGGCAAAGCATGGCCCATCACTCCTCACACAGAGACTATACACAGCCACTCCCTCATAAAAGCCTCAGTTGGAAGATAGGGAGATGGCATGATTTTACCATGGAAAACTCAGACAAAAACTTCCTCAGCCAGGAGAGCACTGTTAACATCAACAGATGGTATATAATGAAAATGGCACTTTAATTCTGTCATCTCCCTCCCAAGAGTGTGCAGTTCCGTCTGGTCATGGTAAAATCATGAGATAATCCCAGCTGGTGGATAGGCTACAAAATGCCCGACGGTGTGCCTCAAAACTGCCAAGAACATCTCAACAAGGAGCCACGAGAAGTAGCACAACCAAGAGAAGACTAAGGAAGCATAAGGGCTGATATAATGTGATGCCCTGTGTGGGGTCCTGGGACAGGAAAAGAACAGTAGGGAAACTTAATGAGATGTGAATAAAGTTGACTTCTGCTTAATAAAATCATACCAATCTAGTTCGCTTGAGACACACCACACTCATGAACGGTGGCCCTGATGGAGTGGTGTAAACAGAAAAAAAACCTGTACTACACTTGTAACTTTTCTGTGAATTTGCAATCATGCTAAAATTAAAAAACTTACTTTTTTCTTAATTTCCTTTTTTTTCACATAGGGAAAACCAGGAACAAAATTAGACATAGTTAGGAAGACATGCAATGTGGAGAATTACTATTAATATTACTGATGTGAAAAGCTGCATTAGTGGGGGTTTTCTTATTGTATATGTGCAGACGTTAATTCTAGAGTGAGGGAGTCCTGCCCAAACTGACTCCAGAAGAACCAGCAAACAGGAGGAGAGTGTACATGAGAGACGCCCAGAAGAGTCAGAGAACCGCCTCCAAGAGACAGTCTGAGCCAGATGGTGTTTCCAGTGAAATCGTTCTGATTTTTAGGGTACAGATAATCCCTGTGCTACGTAAATTGTTTCAAAGCATAGAAATAAATGGGTGGCCATGCCGCTCAATTGCTGAAGTTAACAAGCTAACAAAGCACACACCCCTACTACTCCCAATCCCACATCCATGCACGCAATACAAATGTTCACACACGCACACACACACACACACACACACAAAACCCAATCCTGCTGCATTTGCTTGCTTCTTTATTTGTGTGCACAGATGTGCATATATGTGTGGGCATGCTCATGGCATAGCGCGCATGTGGAGGTCAGAGGACAACTTGAGGGAGTTGGTTCTCTCCTTCAACCATGTAGGCTCTGGGGATGGAAAACTCAGTCTATCAGACTTGGCAGCCAGCACTTAACCCACTAAGCCATCTCTATGCCTCTAATCTTGTTTTATAGAAACAAAACTTCTGAACAAATCCAGCCATTCAAATCGGTACTAATTAAAAGAATAATCTTCCATAAAGCAAGGAGGGCTGACCTAGGAATAAAAGGTAGATTCATTATTTAAATCTACTGATTTAAAAATGTTAATTTTATCAAGAAAGAAATCTGTAACTCAAATAGCTACTGAAATGGGTTGAATAAATCTCCAACACTAAGTCTATGGTTAGTGTTGGGAATGGGAACAATTATTGAAGAAGACACAAAAATTAACATTTTTTCTCATTGATATGTTCAAGATTAACAAGATCCAAGGCATACAACTAAAGATAATCAGAATCAATAACATGATCTAATAGATTATAAAATAATTACATAACAGAGTATAAATTATAATATAGTTAATCATAAATTTATAAAAAAGCCTGTCTTTTCTCCATATCACTTAGAACTTGTGAAAATATGTTGAAGTAGTCACCAATTGAAGTAGTAATGGCAAAGAGCTATATAAAACCAATTGATAGCTAATAAATATGTGAGACCTGCCAAATTCCTGGTATATGAGACACCATATTCTTGCTAATAGTGTCTAGTAATCACAGAAACGCTAAAAATAACCTAATCTATTGAATACTTATTTTCCGTGTTAAGGGATGCAAGCTGCCAATTTGTAAGGACGTGTAAGTATTCTACAGTAGAATTCGTGGAATTCATAAGAAACTTAAAAGGCACAGCCAAAAGTGTACAGGGAACTAAGATATTCCAGGAAGTATTGTGAGTGATTTTAGAAGCAGCCTCGGGCTCCAGGAGCACCTTCCGGAATGCCTTCAAATGACAGAAACCCTGGCCATCAACTGTGTCATGAGGAAACCTAGTCAAAACCACCTGGCCACACTCCTCCAAAATGGTTGAAATTCTAAGGGCCGAACTGCTTGTGTTCTTAACACACCAACGTCTGAGAGCAGCTGCTGAAGAGGCAGAACACAGTCTCCTCTGAGGCGCTGTTATTCGGGGAAGACCTCAGCAATCATGAGGAACTACCTGTAGGTCCCGTGCTAAGAGCTTTGCTCCTTTAAGAACGGGGTGTGATTAGATGCTGCCACCCAGTGGATGATGTGCAAAGCCTTGGCACTTTCCTGGTCACAGAGTCCCTGTCTTCCTAATGACACAGAAACACTGTGGGTAGATATGTGTGCCAGCTAGCTTTTATGCCAACTTGACACAAGCTAGGGAGAATGAAATCCTAACTGAGAATGCTTTTCCCTTTCCCAATGGCCCTTTTCTAGTTCCGTGATCTCTACACACACTAGCTCCCACATAAACATACACACATACATATAAATTAGAATCTAGGATCAGAATAGGAGCAAGGGCATGCACTCTTTGTCTTTCTGGGACTGGGCCATCTTCCTGAAAATCGGTTCTTTTCCTGAAAACCTCATTTTTACTGTCCAATAAAACTCCATTGTGTGCATGTACTTCATTATCCATTCACTTTTTGATGGACAGCTAGGCTGATTCCATTTTCTCACTATTGTGAACAGAGCTGCAGAAAGCCTAAGTGTGCATATATTTCTATGTAGGATACGGAGTCTTTTGGGTGGATGCTCAGGAGCGCTGTCGCTGGGCTGTAGGACAGTTTTGGCTGTAGTTTTTGAGGTACTCCACTCTGGCCAACAGTGGGGACGAATTCCTCTTTGCCCACATCCTCAACAGCAAGTCTCATTTGTTTCCTTGATGATAGTCATTCTGACTTGTGTGAGATAAAATACCTAAGTGATTTTCATGTATATTTCTTTGATGATTAAGGATCTGAACACCTTTAAAAATATTTACTGGTCATTTGTAATTCTCCTTTTGAAAACTATCTGTTCTGTTAAAAATGTGTCTCCTATTTTGCAGGCTATCTGCTCAATTTGTCATTAGTTTCTTTGGTGGTGCTGGAGGTTTTGAATTTATGTGTGTATACATTTGCTCATTGCACTTGTGTATGTATGTGTACGTGTGTGGTGTGTTGAGGTCAGAGGGTAACTCGTAGGAGTCAGTTCTCTACTCCTACCATATGGGTTCTGGAGATTGAACTCAGGTGTGCAGGCTTGGATGTAAGCGCCTTTCCACACTGAGTCATCTCGTTGGCCCATCAAGTGTTTTTAGTCCCTCAAAATCCCTTTTTCAATTCTTGGAGCTATTTCCTGTACTGCTGGGATTCCATTCAGAACATTCCTTTCTATACCTATACCCTAAAGTGTTGTCCCTAGCGGTTTCAGTGTTTTGAGATTTACGTTAAGATCTTTGACCTGCCTTGAATTGATTTTTGTGGGGGTGAGAGATATGGATGTAATCTCATTCTTCTGCAGATGGCTATCACGTTTTGCCAAGACATATTGTTTAACAGGCTGTCCTTTTTCCAGTGTATGTCTTGTCACTTTCATTAGAACCAGTAGAGACTTGGAAAAGTCCACTGACAAAGATGTCCTTCAGTACAGAAGAGGCAATGCAGATGAGCACCCAGACTCTGAGGAGAGAAGTTTGATGCACTGTAAACCCTGATTGCTCTACCCAATATAAATTAATAATAAAATTTATGTTTGCAAATACATTCATAATAAAATCTATGTTTATAAATGCATTAAATATACAATACTGATACTAATTATATACTTTAGAATTTATGTTTTACATCATATGATGGAATTTCCTTTTTGTTTATTTATTCTTCTCTCATATATTGTCTTTAGTATCAGGTGACATTTGCATTTTCTTTTTACTTCAATAATGAGTGCGCCTAACGCTTTAAGCAGAACCATTAAAGTGCCATAAACTTAAATATTACTCCATCACAGAAAAGACAAGATGCACGGTGGGAGAAACAAATATTCACAACTGGAAACAATAGAAGAAATTATTTACTGAAAAAACAAAAACCTAATCACTCAAGGTTCTGCACTTTCAGTGCTGGGCCCAGAAAGGAACAAGTATGAAGAGATGCTCTCCCTCAAACCACACCCCCACCAGAACTCTCTCCAGTCCCTAAATCAGGCATTTGGGTTTCTGAAATGTTAAACATTCCCTTTGTAACAGACAAAAGGAACTCAGGCCCACTTAGAACATTGCTACACACACACAAAGCTGGAATGCCACCTATATGATGTGTGGAAGGGGGTTCTGAAACTATCCTACCAAATAGGAAGGAGGAGGAGGGATGGAGGGAGGAGGGAGGGAGGGAGGGAGGGAGGGAGGGAGGGAGAGAGAGAGAGGGAGGGAGGGAAACAAAAGCGAAGAAAGAAAGAAGCAAAGTTGGCTGGCCTCTAAAGGTAGAGCTGTGAGAAAGCAAGAAATAGGCAAATCAGCAATTGATTTTTACAGAGGGGCTGCCCAGAACTGAGTGACCCCTAGTAGACCTCAGCAGAGGACTGAGATCATAAAGCGGCATCTAGAGGGTGTGAGAGGGACAGCAAGTGAACACAAAGCCACCCAGGGCCTGCTTCAGGGTTTCCTCTGCTCTCTCCCTTTCTCCCCTGTAGACAGATACACCCCCTAAAACACTAAAACAGATCTCCCCTCAGACACTTCCCTCCAGTCCTACCCACTGGGATCAATCCCCTCTGCAATGGGCCAGCTCACAGAGAAAAGGGGCGGCACCCACCAACCCTGGAATAACAGCACCAGCAGCCTCCCTCTGCTTACCAGCTGTTTCTGCAGATTTCGAAGTCAAACACAAAAACTTTTTTGTGTTTTCCAACTCCTCGTCATTTTCCAAGTCTTCAGCATTTTTTGCAGACTGATGGAAGAAGAGTTTAAATATGAAAAATATGAAAAGCAAATATTCCTGCCAGTTCTTATTCCAACCCAGTTTTCAAGTGTGTATGTACACACAGGAAGGTTCAGTTGTTTGCATTCCTTTACCTAGGAAATCTATTAAAATTTCCTGTTTCTCCAAAATTCCATCAGTAGGTCTTCCCAGAATAAAACTTACATACATAGTGCTTAAAGTATCTTTGTGTGTGTGTGTGTGTGTGTGTGTGTAAGAGAGAGAGAGAATACATGTACATATATATTGAGTTACACACATATATGTATATATTGAGTTATCCACAGGTACCCCGTTAAATTGAAATTGGAGAACAGTCTCATGGGTTTTTTTGGGTTTTGGTGGGTTTTTTTTTTTGGTCTCGTGTTTTATTATGCTTCTATTTGTAATTCTTATTCCAATACAAATTAAAGTTTGTTTTGTGTTTCAGCAGAAATCAAACATTAACTTTTTCTGCTAAATTGTATAAAATCATCTCTTGTTTAAATTTGGCAGCAGTTTTCCGTTCACCCAGACAGTCTTCCTAGGATGCTCATACAACCGTTATCCCTACTCACTTCATTCTTAATTCCTACTACTGCCTAGGACATTTCCTCTGAAGTCAGCCAGTGACTAGGGAGGGTGCCGCAGCATCAGCTGTGGGTTCCTACAGGGTCCCTCACTCACAGTTGCTCTCCTTTGAGGGGCAGATTACAACATGAGTCAGTGGCCCTAAGAGACTGTGCCAACATTTGTCCAACTTCAACCTCTTGATGCTGTGCAGAACAGGAGGCCAGCGGAGGCTCCAGAAATGTGGCGACACAGAGGCAAATGGAGCCCGGCCCGGGCTGAAACCATTTTGTAACTTCTCAGAAGAGTCTGAGCAGCACACAAAGCAGTGAGCGCCACAAGTTATTTGTCCCAAAGGCAACAACACCAACCAATGAGTTAGCGTCTTGTGTGTGCTTGTCTATTTCTCTCCAAACTATGAGCTCAAGGGAGAAAAGGCAGGCATACATCTTTGATAAAAATCAACCATCACATCCCTGCCGAGTCAGAGATGGAGGGGGTCCAGTCTGACACTAGCAAGAGAGGGTTGCTGGGCTTGCCCACAGGATATGAGCATGCCAGAACAAGGCCAGAAGGCTGGAATGTCATGGACCAATTATCCTCTCCAGTTCTAGAAAATAGTCATCCCAACACACACACCACACACACACACACACACACACACACACACACACACACACACACGCTGCCACCGCTTTGCAGAACCACAATACCACTCCCTCAGGACACACTTTTCTTATTTTTAGAAGAAACTGACTCTTACAGATCTTACCTTGAGTTCTTCCCACAGCTTAATTCGCATTTCTACACCTTGCTTTTTAACTTTCTTTTCTCTACACTGTCGTTTGGCCAGTATCTTATCCAGTCTGTGCATCTTATGAATAGCATTTTGAAGCTGAGCATCCAGCCCTTCTAATTTGAGATCACCTGCATTGTGTTAAAGGTAGAGATGGATTGGAAGTTTGATAAAACAGCAAGGTTTTGTTTTGATTTTATTTTTTGTTCTTTCATTCAGCCAATACTTATGGCCAATAGTGACGCCTAATACAATCAGTGTCAAGTACTAACTTCCTGGACAAAACGATTTCTTGAGTGTCTTTTCACATAACTGTCCACTCACACCGAGACACAGACACTTAGCCCTATCCTACAGTGGGACCACTGGACCCTTCAAAGGGGTTATAAGTTACAGCACTGGGCACAGAAGTGGTTCTCTTGTGATTTTAATTCCCAAGTTGTTTCTCCTTCATCCTGCTAGATTGTCTATATTCAAACCTACAAAATAAAAAGTAAAGCCTGAGACATGGACCCTATTCCAAACTGTCTCAGGCCAAATAGAAGAGAAGGCATGTACCAGAGAACTGCGGTAGAGGGCAGTACATCCTGACCCATGCAGAGTGGGCCAGACACACGGATTCCACATCCACAGGCATGCCTTTTCTCACCCCTCTTTTGCTTTCCTGAATCACATAAGAATGTTTGTGAGAAGACAATAACAGGTGCTATCTTATTTAAAATTAAGGACTTTAGAAATTTTGTCATTCGGGGCTTAACTGACAACATAATAACTAATAATAACAGCAATTGTCATGTATGGACTTGCCCAATGGGTACAATGCAAAGTTCTTTACTCGTACGCACTGGTCAGTCCTCATTATTGGTCAGTCCTCATGGTAGCCCAAAGCATCCTTTCTTCCTTTTAATTAGTAAACTGAGGCAAATTTGTATTTGAATTGCATGCATATCCAAATTGTTCTAACTAGTAAACCAAACAGTAAGCTCCACCCAAAAGTGCCTGACTCCATGGTGAGAGCACTTAGCTACCAGGTAACACTTCCCCTGTGAAAACTGATGAACTTGAGATGAGCATCAATACTCCTGTACTGTCTCAGACTTCCCAGGTCAGATCATTTAGAATCATGCTAAGTGAGAGCCCAAAGAGTCAATGATATTTGCCTATAATGGACATCTCTACCTCTTTAAGGAAAAGAGAGGGAAGACATCGAGAAAGATTATTAACCTAATAATGAGGTTTCTACAATGCTGCTGCTCAAATACTTCAAATATAATAGGTTCTGGTTTAATTCTCAGCTGCCAATCATGGCATTCCCAGGCTCACTGCCTATAGGCAGGCCATATGCAAGGTATTTTGAACAAACTCACACAATATGAAAAAATATAAACATACTGGGAATGGTCAGACAGCTAATCTCAACAACTCCCTTAGTGGTTTCTTATCAACTACAACCCCATACAATATGGTATCATGGTCTGGACTGGCAGTTAGGCCCAAGTAGTTAACTCACCATTACTTCTGGGCCATCACTACAAATGCCAATACAGTAGGTAAAAATGCAAATGGCACCTCAGTGTCATGATGAAAATGGTACTCACCCAGAGAGTCTCTGCAAGAGTCTCAGAGACACCCATGTCCCCAGAGTCTGCATATCACAAAGGAGAACTGTTCTTCTAACTCAATCTACCAGAATTAAGTTAATGTCATGAGAAAAGTAGCTTTTAAGATATCAATATTATTCACCATCACTGGGATTGCCCTTAGAGGGTATTTATAAATGGCCTAATACATCTTATTCTGCAACATTAGCCATCAAAACCGATCCATGGGCTATGCTATACAATACAGAAATACTCATGACTGTATTATGAGCATAATAATAATTTTATGAAGTAATGTGTTTTGTTATATTTCTAAATGTATTTAAAGATTCAACATTCTTATATGTAAAAAATGTGATTAATTTCTCACCAAAAGCATGTCTCCTTTTTGGTTATATACTCCTAATATTTTAAATACAGTATCTGCAATTATCACTAGTCAGTCTCCAAGTGATCATCCCACCTGGATCCTCGGGGGTCATCTGTTGAGCCAAGTCCGAGTCTTCATCTGAGCCCTGATTGGCTGGTTTTGTGCTCTCAGCCCACTTGCCATCATGACTATGTCTTCTTTCTTCCACACTACTGTTTGATGAATGGTCCTCCTTACTAAAATTCAACTTGCCTACCGTGTCAATCTAAAAATAATTTTCAACAGAAGAATTTCCAAAATATAATACTCAAGGACACTTAAAAAGATAATACATGTTGTTAAAACGTCACACTTGGTAGCATTTAACACTAATGGAAGACGCACATGTGGAGAGGTGGAAATACACACACTGACGTTCCTGGAAACGTGGGCCTTTAACGAAGGGTAACTTAACTGCAAACTAAATTTGATGTTTCACCAAATAAATACCATTGCCCCATGATCTTAAGTAACAATGGGGAAGAGTTGAAACTGGCCCTGAAGAGCCATGCTCAGGAGCCAGGAGCCCTGCTCTCTGCTGTCCGCAGCAACAGCCTCTTCCCCTGTACTGCTGCTGAGAAATCTGAATGACTCAGACATGTTTTTAAATTTTGAATGAGACGTGTTTCTAATAAGAGTCTTCTAATGAGGCGCACACGCTTTGGTTATTCTTAATTTCCTATTTTGTTTCAGTTTCCCTTTATGCTTTGGCAAACTTTATTTTGAAAACAGCAGTTTGGCCTAGTTGTTTTCCTGAGAGAGGGCAAAAAGGGCCATGCGTGGATGGGTCAAGAGAAATCACAGTTTGCAAAACTCCAAAATCGGCCCAAGACAGTGAGAGCCACAACGGGGTAAATACATCCCAGGGGAACTGAGTTCCCAAAGGAACTCTCTCCATGGAGGACTGTCTACTCCAGCCCTTAAGCCTCAGCCATTGGAAGGTAGCCACCCTCATGCTCAACACTCCACTATAGCAACAACCCAGGTTCTCTTAGTACATGGCAAATACTTTACCTCCTGAGCTGGCTGTTTTTAAACTGAATCACTTTCATAGTAAATATCAGTAGATATTGGAATACAAAGTTTCCTTCTGAAGCCAAACAACACATAAACCTTAACAAAGTCTAATGTGGACTTTTTAAAAAGCGTACCTGAAAAGAAGACAGTGGGGAGGAGTTAAAAAAAGAACCAAGCACACTCGTCCTGAACAATCTACCAAAAAGTCAGGGACCTGAACACTCCAAAGGCAGCATTTAAGTGGGAGTTAAGGTCTCTTCAACGATTGTGGTTGAGAGTTCGGTTCCTTCCCAAGCAAACAATTACCTTGAAGGCCCCTGGTTCTGGCGAGAGCACCTCCAGAGAAACATTTGAACTTCTACTCCCAGGACGTGATCTTGAACTCGAGGCTGGTTTTGAAATTCCATCTAGGTTTCCCTTTATAATATCCATCGACATCCTGAACTAAGCCAAAGGAATTAAGAAGCAAGTGACTTCGAGGTCTAACTTTCTCCTTAATCTAAGTTTAGAGCCAGTTACTCAGACCCTATTCCCTACCAAAGTCACACATATAAGTGCTCTTCAAAATCACACATACAAGTGCTCTTCAAGTGCTATGTTTGTGGATTCTGTATCAGCTCCCGACAGCGGTTGAAGTGGAATGCAGATGTGAACTGTTGTGGTGCAGGAAAATAAAAACAAAAACGTGCTACCTTGCTCTTGCCCACTCCGAGGACACCTCTCCCATTCTGGGCCCACGACATCTTAACGATTTGCTAAGGCCTTCTGGGCTCACTCTCCTTCCAGCCTTTCCTGCTCCAGATAAGTCATGTTTCTTTGGAGAACTTTCCTCCACAGCACTGTCCGTATTTAATCATCTCTCCCCTCCTAAAATCCGCCCTTCTGCTTCTGACTGGCACAAGAGAATAAAGCCTACATCCTTCATTAGAGGACAGACTTACACTATCTGGCTGTATGTCACCAACCTCCTCCTCAACTACTTTACAGAAGACTCCAGCCACAGACTGACTTCATTATCACCACTTTGTGTCTAGGGTGGATTTCAGAAGTGAGACTAGCTCAAACTAAGCAAAACAGCTTAAACCAGAGGGAGAAGATAAACACTGTGGATATATCCTTCTAAACCATGCCCTTGATAAAGACTCTTCTACATCTGCCTGGTGATGTTGGAACAATATGCATACTGGAAATTAGAAGAAACTGAATCCAGCTTAAATGTGAATGGATATCTTCTGCCAAATCGTTTTTAAATGCTTATAACTATGTGTGAACATTAAAACTGCAATGTCCTTCCTTATTCTACAAAGTGGCCTGTCTTTCATACAGTTTGTGAACCAAGGACTCATGGGTCCAAAGAGGCTTTGCACCCCGAAGGAAGCCCAAACATTAGCAAGCTGAAGCTGCTCTCAGGCGCCCCAAGGAATAACATGGTTTGGCCTCCAACGGCTCAATGTGCCACTGCTGCAAACTTCAGCAAACAGTTGGTTAACTCTTCCCACTCAGCAACTGAAAAGGGCATTGATGTCAACATTATTCACACTCTGTAAAGGGATTGGGGCTCACTCAGGAAGGGCCTGACATTGTTACTGTGGGATGATGGATCACCCTGGCCCCGTCACATCACCACCGAAAAGCGTAAGTCACTAAAAGGCCAAATGTCTTTTCCATACCCTTAGCATCCTGTCGAGGAGGACTCACTGCAGCTTGAGAGGAGCAGGGAGATGGAAGCACTCGGCACAGCCAATATAATACACGTCAAAAAAGGGCAAGGCCAAAGGGGCCCATCTGTGACATGGATCAGCTAAAAGACCCCAGAAATCTCTGCCTTTGCTTCAAAAACTGGTCTGTTACTATTATGTTCCCTCCTAAACACATCGAATTAAACAAATCATGGTCACAGAAAATGTAACTGACAGACTATCTGTGTATTTGGCCATCTGGAAAACAAGTCAGAGTAAAAACCATTGTAATGGGATCTTGCAGATGTATTGTGTGTTTAAGAAATAACTTGTCACACAGAAATTCCAAATGAAAAATGAAGAGCTGTACAAGAAAGCAACCAAACAATGTGTACTTCGCTTTATGAGCACTGAGTATGGACTTAGCAAACATCATGCTTTAGTGAAAGTAAAGTATACGGGCATGGGGAACAGGATCCAAAAGAAGGGATGTAGAGAATCTATAACAGGAAATTGAAGACGGCATCCAAAACTGGCTAAAGCCAAACAATAGTTAACTAAGCATAATATTTAACAGTTCAAGACAGCTGCCTCAAGAGGCGGTGACCAGAAATCACTCTATTATTGCTTCCAATATCAATGTTACACAGAAGTTTAACATTTGGACCATATTTTTTTGGTAAAAGTAAAAACTAACATTAAAAAGTAATGAGTAGATATAAAATATGCAATCTTCAAGGAGCAGGAAGAAACACAAGTGCAGTTTGCAAAATAATAATAATAATAGTAATGTACTAAGCATGTGTGGTGGTTTGGATGAGAATGTCCCCCCATAAGCTCTTATGTTTAACTACTGGGCTCCCAGTTGGTAGACCTGTGTGTGATTAGGAGGTGTGACCTTGTTGGAGGAGGTTTTTCATGGGGGAGTGCCCTCTGAGGTTTCAATAAACTTGCATCATTTCCTTTTAGCTCTCTATGCCTTCTACTTTCAGATCAAGATGTGGCTCTCAGCTGTCCCTGCTGCCATGCTTTTCTCTGCCATCATGGGCTCCAACCTTCTGAGACTGTAAGTCAACTGAAGGCTTTCTTTTCTAAGTCGCCTTGGTCATGGTGCTTTGTTACAGTAACAGAGAAGTAACCAAGACAGAGGTTGGTACCAAGGAATGGGTCATCTCCGTGACAGGTCTGACTATACTGTGTTTTGGAGGAATTGAAAGTCTTTAGGACTCTGGACTAGGAAAGTTACTGAAGTTTGTAGGCAGAGCTTAAGGGCCCATTGGTGCAGGTTAGAAGACAATGTGCTGAGGGCTATGTGGACTGAGGAGGCCCACAAACCTCAAGATGTTCGGGGGGAACAATCCTAGCAGCGGGGCCACAGCACATTCTTAGATCTGGCAAAGAATGTGGCTCCTTTCTGCCCTTGTCCTAAAAATATACCTAAGGCAAAAGTGAAAAGAAAAAAAAAAGACGACTTAATTTCCTTGGCAGAGGAGATTTCAAAACAGCCTAACACTGGCTCTGTTGTGTGGTTATTAGTAATCACTCTCATGTGGGTCTACAAAGAAAAGAACAACTGGTACAAACAATTTTTTTTTGTTTCATGCATTTCCCCATTTAACGATACATTTTCTTAGGGTATTAAATGAATCAAAATTAAAATATCTGTCACCTTATGATAATCTGTGAAGTAGATGCGTGGCTAGGCTCTAATGGTAACAAATAACTGTTCATACATGCCAACGCTTTATTTTGATCAGCTCATGTAGTTAGGACATGATCTGCTCTGATAAGGCAAAACTGCCTGTGTCCCTAGATTGGTTTGCTTCTGGTCTGCTTGTCTGGAAAGCCTAGTCATATGCCCCAGCCTGATGGGTGTCCAAAGGGACCTACCTATATATTTGGTTTACGTTTCTTCATAAGAAAAGCTGAGTTCCAATAAACCTACCACAAGACCCAGCAACTCCACTCTTAGGCATATATCCAAAAGATGCCCATTCATACAACAAGGATGTCTGTTCCACTATGTTCATAGCAGCATTATTTGTAATAGCCAGAACTTGGAAGCAACCTAGATGTCCCTCAACCAAAGAGTGGATAGAGAAAATGTGGTACATTTACATAATGGAATACTATTCAGCAGAAAAAAAAAAACAATGGAATCCTGAGATTTGCAGGCAAATGGATGGCACTAGAAGAAACCATCCAGAGTGAGGTAACCCAGTCACAAAAAGAGAAACATGGCATGTACTCTCTCATATATGGATTTTAGACATAGATCTGGGGAGTGCCAGCCTATAATCCCATGGTCAGAGAGTCTGGGAAACACAAACTTCATTTAGTGGCTGAAAGAAAAAGAGGCAGACTCCATCGGTTAAGCACTGAGCTGAACTCAAGAAAGCCAGTAACAGAGAGGGAGGACTGATGACCAAAGGGATTAAGACTGGGCTGGTTTAACCCCCAGAAACAGCTGACCAGACAAAGGTTAACTCTTGAATCCCAGGCATCAGCCTGGGAATCCAGCATGGGACTGATCAAGACCCCCTGAATGTTGAGTGTCAGGGAGGAGGCCTAGGTAATCTATTGAGCCTTGGGCAGCAGATCAGTACTCATCCCGAGTATACACACGGACTTTGGACCCCCATAGAACAATGTGAGGTGCACTCTCACCCTGAACTCTTGGGGAAGGGTCTAGGCCCTGCCCTGGATGAAATGACAGACTATGGACACCCCCATGGAGGGCCTCACCCTCCCTGGGGGAATGAGGGGATAACGGGGGGGGGGTGGGTTGGGGGGAGGGCACGGGAGGAGGGGAGGGAAAGGGAGAGGGACCTGGAACTGACTTGTGAAGCAACCTTGTGTCTTATCTAAATTTAAACTGAAAAATAATTAATTAATTAATTAATTAATTAAAAAAAAAGAGAAAAGCTGAGTTCCAGGTCAATGTTTAACAGCCCTCTTCCTATTTTCTTTTTTTTTTTTTCTGTGTCATGACTATGTGTGGTTTACAGTCTTAAGCTATTGACTAGTTCTCTAGACCACAGTGGCAAGAAGGTTCAGAAAGATGGACTAACACAGAAACCAGGATTTCCCTGAGACTCCACAGTCCCACCCAGGGATGGCCACGCCCCTGTAGTCACGCCCCACTGTGGCCTGGGCGGGCAGGCCACACCCACCGCGATGGCCCCGCCTCTGGAGACCGAGTCCGCCCACTCCCTCCAGTCGAGCCCTGGCAGGACTCCGCCCGCCCTCCCGCCGGCACTCGGTTGTACCTCACAGCTGCTGACCTCTGCCCGTGGTCCGTGCGGTCCCTCACCTTCCCGGTGGGGACGAAGGCTGGACGCCTAGGCACTAACTGGCGCCTCTGACATCCAAGCGTCATCCACTTTCCCTCGAGGGGGGCGGGTCTTTCCCGCCACCACCGCCTCTGAGAAGCCCGCTGCCTCAAAGAACGCTGTTGCCCTGGCAACTGGAAGCGCGCGGATCTCGGTCTCGCGATAGGTGTAAGGGGCTGTACCATCAGAAATTGGCACTGGGGACCGGAAACTACAAGGAAGACTGCCGAAGCTGTGGGGATGGGAGGTTGTGGGGCTGAGACCGTCCTATAACCTTTGCAGTAAATGCTCTAGGTGAGGAATGGTCTGTTCATGTTTAGACTGGACTCCGGAACGAGGATCCCGGTGTTTACATGGCTCTGACCAGCTACTAGGATGTCTACAAGCATCTGCCCTCTCCGATCTCAATTACCTCCCGTATCACATCAGCCCTTGCAAGACCGATGTGCAGCTCAGAGATGTCCTATGTGAAAGTCTTGACAAATCTGGAGAGCTCTGTGTGTAAAGGCTGGGCTGCAGAAAAATAAAATTTAAAAAAGGATTATGATGGCTTTACACCCCTTCATAATTATTCATAATTTCTCTATGCATAAGGTGCCTGGATCACCAAACGGATACTTTCCAACACCTGCTGCGTTCCGGTCTGAATGACCCTTGATTGTTTACAAGGTGTTTGCACACCCAGAGCTCCTTTATCCTCATGCTTTTGGGCAGGTACGGTAATTCTTCAGTCTTTTTCATGAGAACATACGAGTATAAATTGAGTCACCCAAAGAGCACAGTATAATCTAAGGTAGGACAGGGTGTAAAAACCTGGCTGTAAACGCCATCTGTGTCCTACTGATCCTGGTTCTATCTGCACGTCAGATGTCTCTCTTGAACCCCATTCCTTTATCAGACCTTGGTCAGGCATGTCTGCTCAGCTGTGTGAGAGCCCTCTCAAACTTAGCGATCAGACATCAAACCACTTTCCATAGTCTCCTCTCCCCACCCCAGCCCATCCTCCAAGGCTCAGCTCAGCGACTTCGGTGTCATCCTCACGGCCTCTTCCCCGCACAAGTGTTATAAACGCTAGCGGTATCAGACTCCAGACGCTTCTCACACCTGCAGTGTTCCCACGCTCTGCTAGATGTTTGCAATAATCTACCTGTAGTTTCTTTGGCTAAAGCCCCTTTGAACCTCCTGTACTTGTGGCACTTTATCCTGTAACATGTTCGGAACCTCAGTCAAATCCTGCCAGCCCTCTGCCCCATGTTCCCCATGATTCTCCATTTTCTTAGAATCCATACAATGCCCTCAGGCCCTAATAATCAAACTGTTAACCTCGCTGCCCTCCAGCCTCTGTCTTCACTGTTCAGGTCTCCAAAGGAAAATTCCCTGTATTTCTCAGGAAATTTATGATTTTTCCAAATCCCCCCTCTTCTTAAAGTTTGGAAATCCAAAACAGAAGAAAATATTCTGCTTCTGGATGAGAATTAACCCTTAGCAGCCTGCGTAGAGATATAACTGAAGGAATCTGGGGGCACCACTGCCAAAGCAAGAGCAGAAATCACGACACTAAGTCAGAAGTTGAGGTCACCATTTCCTGGAGCTCAGGCAGAAATACCAGGGAGGGCATGGCAGTGTTGTGCACCCATCTTCCTTAGAGTCGTGTATTTGGGCCCTGCCTGTGCCAGCAGGGATTCATTTTTAGTATTTGTTTGAGCTTCTCTCTCTCTCTCTCTCTCTCTCTCTCTCTCTCTCTCTCTCTCTCTCTCTCTCTCTCTCTCTGTGTGTGTGTGTGTGTGTGTGTGTGTGTGTGTGTCTCCCCGTCTCTGAATGGCTCAGCAAGTAAATGCATTTACTATGCAAGCCTGGAAACCAGAGTTCAAGCCACAGAACCTATAAAGTTTTTTTTCTGACCTCCACATGGGCATCATGGCACAAATGCATACATACATACATACATACATACATGCATATTTACATTTAAAGAAGAACAAAGAAATAATGAGTTTGGGATTCAAAGTAAGTCCTTACCTTCACAATTCCCAATCCACAGTATTAACTGGTAGATTTACATGCTAAGGAAAAGTGAGCAGCAGCTAGAGGCGGGGAGGGGGGGTGTCCCTCAGTGGTAGGTAAGAGACTCTGTATATGAGTCACAGCAGTACCAAAAGCAAGGACAAAGAAGTAACTAAGGTTGCCTTTCTGACGTGCAATCTAGATGTGGGGAGTGGACCACAGCACAAAAGGTTCCAGCAAAGTTGAGTAAAAACTGAAAACAGTATCCACTGCACCTTCAGCGTTTCTGACCTGGACTTACTGCAGTCAACTAACTAGTCAAAACGGGCTTGAGCCAAAGATTAACGCCTAACCAAATTACTGCCTCCACAAACTACTGTTTGTGAAAGTCACCTATCAAAATCCTCATGTGTGCTTGTCCAAGGCTACTGTTCAGGGACAACCTGGTTCAGTATACCTAAGCTACAATTCTGCATTCTCTGTTCCCCTAAAAAATGCTACTTCCTTTGACCTTGGCACCAGTCCTCTCTTAGTTAATGTTTTGTTAATCAAATACTACCTAGTGATGTTCTCTGTGTTTTCCAGAATTTGAAGATAATGTATAATTCTTCCAAATGCCTCTAAATTTAATCATTTGGATTTGGAGGCTTTTCTTCTTTGTATCTGGGTGTTGTTTGTCCTGGAGGGTTCCAGAGTTGAAAATCTAGGCTTTACACATATAAGGAGGCAAGTGTTCCACCTCCAGGCAGTATTCCAGCCCTAATAATTCCTATTACTTAAACACATGCTTCAGGGGATCATAATAGTAAGAATATGAAAGTTGGAAGTATTTTAAGAATTATTTAGGAGCCTGGAGGTATAATTGCAGAATGTGTACTTAAACCTGCATGAAGTCCTGGGTTTGACACCAGCACCAGAAGAACAGAGGGAAAAGGCCTTGCAGTTCATATTTCCTGTCTCTACATGTGAAAGATCAGTATTTGTCAGGGGCTTAGAAACACAACTTGTCTCTCCAACACACACATACACATACACACACACACACACACACACGTACACACACACACACACACACACACACACACACACCAGCTCCCTAGTTCCTCTAATTGGAATACAGTTTCCCAACTGTCTGTGTAGCTTGCTTCCTGAGAAGGCCCTGTAGTCACAAGCTTAAATAGCCATCTATAACCACACTTCAAATGAACTACAAAGAAGATTTATTTGGGATCATGGTTTTGGGGGTTTTCAGTCCATGGCCACTTGGCCCCTTTGCCTTGGGCCTTGGCAGCACAGTATATTGCGATGGAAACACTGATGAGACGGGTCAGCTCCCCGATGACAGCTAAGACAGAAACTAGGGGGTCAGGGTCCACTGTCTGCTTCAAGAGTATGCCCCAGCCCCCCTCACCTACGTGCATCCCACATAACTGCCCTGCAAAGGCTGCAGCATCTCCTAATAGCACCACAGGCTGGCAGCAAGCATTGGCACCATTAGGGGACAGTTATCCAAAGTATGATTCCTGCTTTTTAAGTGTTTTGATAAAGGGGGTGGGCTAGAGAGAGAGCACAGAGGTTATGAATACTGGACTTCATCCAGAGAGTGGGGTTCGGTCTTCAGCACCAATATATAGACAACAATCAGTGAGACCTGGCGGTCTCCTTGGCCTCCACAAGAACTATGCACAAACAATACACAGACATGCTTGCAGAAAAAACAGCCATGCACAGAAAATAAAAAATAAGAAATAAAAAAGTTTGTAGTAAGGAAGAAAGCACCATTATTATGAGTTTGGTATTAAATAATTGGGTAGCCTTGTATAAGTTCACAGATGTTTATGGCCACTATGTCCTCATTTGGGAAATGAAGCTGGAGATGGTTTGCAGTTGTTGACACCACTGCACAGCAGAATCGACTCCTGACACCAGGATTGCACTGAGAACTGTAACTGTATCACCCAATGAGCTTGACAAAATGCTGATCAGGTCTCTGGTGGGACTGTCACAGGTGACAGCTCGGCTCCTGAACAACAGATTGCTCCTTGAGTAGATGTAGGTAGATCATCTCCACTTGTCAACACACTGCTCTGCTCTGGGAACGAAGGCCACGTGTGTATGTGTAAGTGTGTGCATTATGTGGAGGTCTATAGAATGCACATATATGTGTGCAAATGTGACCCAGGTGTGCCAATATGGGTGTAGAGGTCAGAGAGCAATCTCAAGTGTCCTTGCCTTTTATCTTGTTTGAGACAGAGTCACCGTTGTCTTTCCATGGCATGTGTGGGACTGAGACTGGCTGGCCCATGAACTTTCTGGAATTTTCCTTTTCCCATCCCCCACCTCCCCAGAGGCTTACAGAGCTTTTGTGGGACTTTAGGGATATGAACCCAGGTCTGCACACTCAAGTGTCAAGTGCTTTTACCTACTAAACCATCTCCCCAGACTCTCTCCCCAGCTCTTACATTGGGTGCTTAATGAGGCCCATTAAGAAAATTCCACATTTCGCGGCGATGTGGAGGAAGAGAACTCAGAGAATACGGAGCTATGAAGACTGCACATGGTCTCTGGTGTTTTCCCTTTTTAAACAGTTGCCTTTTAAAATGTATGCAGCATGAGAACTATAAAAAACAAATGGAAACAAAATGTGTGTCTCTCACTCTTAGTCATCCCACACTAAGTCCTTATTGATCACATTTTCATAAAACAGTCTTGATGAGTTCGTCTCTGTCTCTGTATTTTTATCACTTTATTTGCCTCCTACTGTTTTCATTTTGCAAACTGCTCCAAGGCTGTGTGGACCTGGAGAGCAAACTTTAATAAGCTGGAGTTGTGCTGTATTTGTTCTTAAATTTCTGCATATACCTGTGTCATATGCAGGGTGGTAGTCTCAAAACAGTTAGCATTCAGATATGACAGAAAGTGTCATCTTTTTCTGTGCTGCGTTTTCTTCAGTTCTGCGTTCTGCAGAGACTCTCTGGAGAGTGTTATGCCTTCGGAGAATTCCTCGAGTTTTTGCAGAATGAATGTATTTTAAGCTAAATTTCCCCTGGTCTTATTCCAGGTTGGGGGACATATGGCAGTGTTGATTTTGGAGTCAGATTTTGTTTTTGTTTCC